CGGTGAGCAATCAGAACCTTCTACTTCAACTCATGTATTGAGAAGGTCCTCTCGGCCTCATGTACCTAACAGGAGATACATGGACTACATGTTGTTGACCGATGGAGGAGAACCTGAAGATTATTGGAGGCTTGTCAAACCCCGGATGCTAGCAAGTGGGAGCTTGCCATGAAGGACGAGATGAAGTCCTTGATCTCAAATCAGACATGGGAACTAGTCAAGTTACCCATGGAAAAGAAAGCACTTCACAATAAAGGGGTGTATCGGGTGAAGGAAGACCATGATGGTTCCAGGAGATACAAAGCCCGACTAGTTGTCAAAGGATTTCAGCAGAAAGAAGGAGTTGACTATACTGAAATCTTTGCTCCAGTTGTAAAGCTCAATACTATCAGGACTGTGTTAAGTATTGTGGCTAGTGAAGAGCTCTACCTAGAGCAGTTAGACGTGAAGACTGCATTTCTTCACGAAGACCTAGATGAGGAGATCTATATGCACCAGCCTGAAGGTTTTTCTGAAGGAAAGAATGATATGGTGTACAGATTGAAGAAGAGCTTGTACGGCCTGAAACAAGCTCCAAGACAGTGGTATAGGAAGTTCGAAAGCTTCATGCACAAGGAAGGTTTCCAGAAGTGCAATGCTGACCACTGTTGTTTCTTCAAGAAATATGAGTCCAGCTACATCATATTGCTACTTTATGTCGATGACATGTTAGTAGCAGGATCAAATATGAAAGACATCAGAAATTTGAAGATGCAGTTGTCAAAAGACTTTGACAAGAAGGACTTAGGCCCAACGAAGAAGATTCTTGGAATGCAAATCACGAAAGATAAGCAAAAGGGAGTTTTGCAGTTATCTCAGGCAGAGTACATCAACCGTGTTTTGCAGAGATTTAACATGGACAAGGCCAAACCAGTCAGTACACCTTTGGCCAGCCATTTTTGTCTATCCAAGGATCGGTCTCCTCAAACAAAGGAAGAAGAAGAGTTTATGGCTAAGATTCCTTATGCTTCAGCCATTGGAAGTTTGATGTACGCGATGGTCTGTACGAGGCCAGACATTGGCCATGTAGTGGGAGTTGTGAGCAGATTTATGTCAAAACTAGGAAAAGCTCACTGGGAAGCAGTTAAATGGATTTTGAGATATCTAGGGGCACAACAGAAAAGTATCTGTATTTTAGAAAAGGAGATCTAAAGTTACAGGGCTACGTAGATACAGACTTCGGAGGTGAAGTTGATCACCGAAGAAGCACCACCGGTTATGTTTTCACTGTCGGAGCTACAACTGTTAGTTGGATGTCGCCAAAAGATTGTTGCTCTATCCACTACAGAGGCTGAGTATGTAGCAGTGACAGAAGCCAGTAAGGAATTGATATGGCTTCAAGGATTATTAGCAGAGTTGGGTATCACTCAAAAGGAGAGTGTCTTCCACAGTGACAGTCAGAGTGCAATACATCTGGCAAAGAACTCAGTGTTTCATTCCAGAACTAAGCACATTGACATACGGTATCATTTTATCAGATCTCTTCTTGAGGATGAAGTGTTGATATTGAAGAAGATTGTAGGAAGCAAGAACCCAGCAGATATGCTAACGAAGGTGGTGACCATTGACAAACTGAAGTTGTGCTCAACTTCAGTTGGCTTGCTGGAGTAACAGACCAGAAAAAACTACTGCAGTAATTGAGGTGTGAGGACAGATTGAAATCAGTCCTCAAGTGGGAGATTGTGAAGTCAAAAAAAGGGTTGCAGCCCACATGCTTTGACAAACAACAAAAGAAAAAAAAAAGGAAATTCTGAAGGTTTTTTTTATTTTGGCTGCTAAAACGTGGCCAGCCATTGTGGAAAAAAGTGCACACCTTTGTAGAAAATTTGATGCATATTTCCTCTATAAATAGAGGAGTGAATTCTGAAGAGCAAACACAACCAAATACAAGAAAGAAAAAGGAGAGCGAGAGAGCTAATAGAAATTTAGCTTTTGTGTGTATTTAAGTTGTGAGTTGTGAGTGAGTTTGCGAGTGTTTTGTAAACACGAGTGTTTTCTTTTCTCCTAATAAAATATCTGCAGTAGTCCGGAGACGTAGGCATTATTGGCCGAACTCCGTTATCAATTTGGTGTGTCCAATTTTTTTATTTCACTTTTATAGATCCGACTTCATGGAAATTTCAGCGTATTTTTCCCAACATAGAGTACAATATTTATCAAGCCTTATTTATAAATATATAATTTTTTCGACGACCTACAGTCATCTTGTGATTGGCTGGAGCTCAAACGACATTCTGCGACCGGTCAGAATCCTCCCAGCACTTCAGTCCGCGACCAACTCCCACAACCAGGCGTCCAGTTCGTGTCCATGGCCCAACAGATGAAGAGTCCAGCAAGCAGTTCGTGAATTGGCCCATTCTCTCTCATGTGCGCCCAGTCCGTGAAGAAGCCCAGTGTCGTAGGCCCATTTCATGCGGCCCAATTCTTCGCGCGAAGCCCAACATGAATGATGAAAAACGTGAGGGTCGTCCTTGCCCGCGCTTCAACCCGAGCGCCTCACAGATGAAGCCCGCGAAGCCAGCGAGCGGCCTACGTGCAAAGTTTCAGTCTTCCAGGCCCATATGCATGCCTTCTCGGCCCATCGTCTATTGTACGACCCAACTCCTTGCAACACGCGGCCCATCTTCCCAAGAGTGACCTAATGCGCGGTCTAGCAGCGCAGCGAGCCAAGCGCGACCAGCTCAAGCCCAAAGCACACCAGGCCGGTCCAGACGGTTTAGCAACACTCCAGGCTGGCCCAAGTCGGTCCAAAAGCTTCGGTTCAAGTCTAAGACGGTTCTAGAGTGGTACGAACACTCTGACTAACCTACCAAAGGTCCGAGACAACATGATGAGCCCCACGAGCAATCGGAGACGCATTAATGAGGTCAAGTCTGGCTGCCCAACAGACTCTGTGTTCAGACGATTTCCTACAGCAGTAAGTCAGAAACGTCTCAGAGTCGGCAAAAATTTTAAACCGTAAGTCTCAATCCTAACTATAAATTCCGTTGCGTTAGGATTTATTGTTCAATAGATTTGAATGTACATAATAGCTAAAAGTTCCTAATAAAACCCAACAAAACCTACTTATAAGTAAGATCCAAAAAGCAAGATACATTCACAAGGTTAGTTTCTTCTCTGCTGCAAGAAAACCAAACAGCTCTTGGATGTGGAACTCTTGTCTTGCAGTTACAGAATCCTTGCACAATGGCTTCTGCTATGAAGTTAGAAATGGTAGTAAAATCAAGCTTTGGGAGAAACCTTGGATTCCTCATATCCTAGGGTTCGGACCTACAACCTGCTCTCAAACAAAGAGTGATCTTATCTGGGTGCACTAGTTGCTTGACTCAACATGTAGGAGTTAGAATAGAGAGCTGGTGCAGAGCACCTTTTCAATGAATGAAATTGAGGCTATTCTCAATATCAAAGGGTTTGAGCCTGTTGGGCTTGGAGTATAGCTACGAATTGCACTCCCCATTCATGGGGAAGATGTCCAAAAACTTAGAACTACCTTAGATGACTTTCTGGGACAATGGGGCATTAATAAAAACAAAACAAAACAAAAAAAAAAATGTAATGAACAAGTTGAAGCCACTAGAATGAGGAAAATGAGTTGGAATCTCAAAATCAAGGGGAAACTAAAACACTTTATTTGGAAGCGTGCAACCATTTTGTTACCTGTCAGTGTTAATCTGCTCATGAAAGTAGTTTTGAACTCTATTTGCATTGCCTGTGGAGATTTTGAAGAACTTTTGGAACACCTCTTCTTCCAATGTCGGAGGTCACAGCTAGTTTGGAAGCTTTCTTCCCTGCAATGGGATGGTTCTGAGCCTGCTCTAGCTGCTTCAAGGGATGGTGGACAGAGCTCTGTAATCTTAGCAAGTCTACCACTTCTAAGGCTAGACTGCAATTAACTGCTTATATCTTATAAGCTATTTGGAAGGCAATGAACTGCGTTGTCTTCATGGCAGTGAGAAGGCCAGAGCTTGATGTGGTTAACTTGGCTTGCTATGAGTTGAAGGAGTTCAGTTCTCTTTCTGGATTCGATCTCTAGATGGTTTGTAGAACGGGAGTTGTTGGTGTTTGGTGTTTTCCTATCTTCTGGTTTGGCTATTTTAGTAGGCGTAGCATGTTGTTTGTTGTTTTTGCTTGTTGTTAGTATTGGATGTTATGTAGTTTTAGCTGATATGTGGTTTTTCTCTTGGGTTTTTCTTTGAGTAACAAATTAGGTTCTTCTAGTTCAGTGCTTAGTTACTCTTTTGAATGCTTTTTAGCAGCAGGGGTGAGAACCATGCTATGGTCTCAGTGCTTTAGTCGTTGTCGGAAGCAAGGTCTCTCGCCCCTGTCTAGTTTGGTTTTCATTTTGCTCTAGGGCACTTATCTGTAGTGTTCCTCTCGTCTATCTATTGATTGTACTGTTGGGCTATTAGCACCTAGACTGTAATATTTTCTTGAATTATAGTATCTGTAGTGTTCCTCTCGTCTATCTGTTGATTATACTGTTGGGCTATCAGCACTTTGATTGTAATATTTTCTTGAATTATAGTTTTGAAAAAGGAAAAAAAAAAAAAAATCACATGAGACCAAGAAATGGAATCGATATATCAAATGGTGTGTGATGTGATACTTCTTCAAAAAATGTTATACTCGAACTAGACATCCAATCACAAGAAAAAGATCCATTCATTAAGAAACTAAAGGAAAAAATAAAATAAAATAAAATAATGCTTTCTTTATTGAATCACAAGTGTATTCAAAGTTTGACAGATCTCTTTCCCATCTCACAACTAAACCTGTGTATATGATGTTTCCTTTTTTTAAAAAAAAAAAAAAAATCACTATAAAAAAAGAATATATCAATAAATTATATTCTTGTGCTATCATTCTTTCTATTCACTGAAAAGAATGAAGTAAATAAAGAATCAACTGTGCTTCACTATGCCTTAAAAAGAAAAGGTAAAAAAAAAAAAAATGTAACTCAGTCATTCCCTGTGAATACCACCTCCTACACATCGTGAAAGGTTACTACTACCGGTTGGGGTCGACGAACGGGAGGGAAATTCAAATCTCAAACGACGTTTGCTTCTCGGAGATAAGTTCACTTGCTCCAACGCATGACATTGCAAGCCCGACGGGTAATCTCTCACGCACCCGATCCTAGGCCCAGCTCCCGTGCTCCACTTGCAAGTCAACTGCTTTCCCAATTGGAACGACTCCATTTTTTTGTGGGAGTTTATTCTTTCCAAAATGTGTTCTTCCGGAATAGTCTCCTCTTGTACTACCGAAACCGAAGGCGTCTCTTTTGCCTCAAAATTTTCGTCCGAGGGCGACTCTGGGAGTGATGTTCCCGTGATGGGTTCGGTTATTTCACTTTCAGCCCTAAACCGACCAATCAAGTCTTCGTTGCTTGGTATAATGAGCGACTTGAGCTTGGTTAGGACGCGTTTGGCCCTCTCTTTTTCTTCTTGTACCAAGTCAACTTTGTTGGGATTGAACCCTATGTTTTCTACAACTGGGCGCTCTTTTTCCAACAAGTCGTCACTGGATGAGTTGCTTCTCACGTGTTTCCCGGCGGATGAATCTTCCTCGTCGGTCGAGTCGAGCTGGATAGAGTGGGATTAAGACATGATTTAGCACATTATATTAGGAAATGGAACAATAGAGGAAGATCAAATTAAAGGAAAGGAATACGAAGAAAAATTCGGCTCGTTTTGTACCTTAACATTGGTGAGATCGACATTGTTGTCCCTAATAAATGATAAAAAATCCTGGAAATTTTCGGGCGTTGGCCGGTAATGGCCACTGTGAGGCCAAACTGCCTGTTCGAAAGCCAAACAACGCTTAGATTAGACTAATATATTGATAGATTATAAAGGGATAGCATTAGTATGAAATTTTCGGTTTCTAGAGTACGCGATTTTCGATAGCAAAAGAAGGGGAACAAAAAGTCTAGATTAATGAAAAGTTGGCAACTTTCATAACTACAAAGAAGTTGGTAAATAAGTCCAGTGACTACAGGGACAAAATATATTGTAAAAGCGATTCATTCGTACATAAAAGTCAAACCAGAAAAGCATAAGCTGGAATTTTGAAAACACTAAATGATAATTTTTTTTTTTTTTTTTTCGGTTTAACAATCAATCTCTCAGCATAAGAACGAGTAAAGTACGAATTCGGCGAAGCAATTTAGTAAAGTTCCATAGCTTGATAAGAAATGTATATACCTTCAAAATGCCATTTTCAGCTACGATTCTCCCGGCGGCCAGTGTAGCTCCTCCGGCCAAAAAACTCGAGTGTTGAAACGAGCCCTTTTTCTTTTTCCCAACATACAATGTCCTTGAGGTGCTCAGGACAAAAATCCACTTACAACCCTTCGGCTCGTCGACCGTGTTCAAAAGCTCCCCCGTTTCCTTGTAAATTAGCTTCCTGTCTTCGACTGCCACCTCATAAGGCTTTCTTTCCATCTGCAAAAAGCGAAGACATTATTGAGCCAAATACTTCTTTCTTCGGAAAATCAAGATTTTGAAAAGAGGAAGGCGAATACGCACGGGACCAAGATACTTGATGCATTGTTGTTGAAGCTTGAAACGAGAGCATTTTTCGACAAGATTAACCTCTTTCCCTTCCCCAATGTCTAGCCTACACAAGTTTCGTAAAAACATATCATCATCATCATCATCATCATCATCATCATCAATCAATCAATTATTGTTTATTATCTTGTAAAGGAAATATGCAAGAGCAAGATGTTTACCAGTAGAAGAAGGGCTCTTTGCTTTGGGAATTCAACCATTTCACATAATAGAAATGCAGATTGTGGCCGTAACGATGCCTCGGATCAATCTGCTCCACACCGAAAGTCGAAATCGAATCAACATTCACAACCTTAATTTAAGTAATTCTTTTGTGTTTGGTTAATTAATTTAAAGTACTCACAGCTTCAAGCCAATGCTGCAAGGCCAGTTTCTGAGCCTTGCCGTTTTCCGACAAGCCTTTCCCCACCTTGGCAGCCCTGGTTCTTGCTCTGGACCACCTGGAGACGGCGGTCTCGTTCTTGTGAAGCTGGAAAAAGGATATCGAGCTGTGCTTGAGCTCCGCAAAATCCAAGAGCTTCCACCAGCTCTGCTCGATAACCACCGCGCAGTCGGCCAGCTTCCTCCTGGTGCGAAAGCTCTTGTACACTTTCTGCAGCTTCACCGCCGCCTCGTGTGTGAGGCTGTCCCCGCCGCCGCCGCCGGACACCAACCCATTCTCCAGGTACAATCCCACCGGCCACGACCAAGACGAACCCATGCACTGCAATTTCTGATAAATCAAACATCCCCCAAATATTTATTCAATTATAAATTGTATACACAACCCAAGAAACAGAGACTCGAGATACACAGCAGCTCAACAAATTTGATTATATATATATATATATTTTTTTTTTTTTTGTAATTTTCT